ACGCGGGCCTCTCACTGCTGTGGCCTCTCCCGTTGTGGAGCACAGGCTCCGGACACGCAGGCTCAGCGGCCATGGCTCATGGGCCCAGGCACTCCGCGGCATGTGGGATCTTCCTGGACTGGGGCACGAACCCCTGTCCCCTGCATCGGCAGGCGGACTCTCAACCACTGCGCCACCAGGGAAGCCCAAAAAAGAGTCTCTTTATTTCCCAAACCTTAATCCTTCCCTGGCCCACCCTCCTCTGAGTTCCATTTCGGAGCTTTAATTTTGAGGATGGTATGGGAAGAGAAAGGAATAGAAAAGAAGAATGGAAGAATTCTCAAAAGCAGTTAACAGAAAATGTTTGCAATATATGTAACATACAAAGGGTTCATATCCCAAGATACATAGAGCTCCTACAAGTCAATAATGCAACCCAATTGAAAATGAACAACTAATGATCAGAGGAATCTCTATCAGTCAACCAAAAAAGATAATAAGTAATTAAACTCTGAAATTTAAAAATGAGATACCATTTGACTAGCCAAAAAATGTAAAAAGAGAATATTCAGAGTTCGCAACAATGTGGAGGAAAAAGCATCCTCATACATTGTTGGTGGGAATGTAAACTGGTACAAATTTTCTGGAAGAGTAATTTGGCATTATCTATTTTTTTTTAAATTTATTTTTATTTTTGGCTGCATTGGGTCTTCGTTGCGGTGCGCGGGCTTCTCATTGCAGTGGCTTCTCTTATTGAGAAGCACGGCGCGCGGGCTTCAGTAGTCGTGGCGCACGGGTTTAGTCGCTCCATGGCATGTGGGATCTGCCTGGGCCAGGGCTCGAACCCGTGTCCCCTGCATTGGCAGGCGGACTCTTAACCACTGCAACACCAGGGAAGCCCGGCATTATCTATTAAAATATAAAATGTGGATACTTTATGACCCAGCAATTCTATATCTAAAAGTCTAATCTACAGAAAAAGTAGCATGAATATATGAAGATATATATTTATGGATGTTCACTGACACGTTACTTGTGACAGCAAAACATGATAAACAGAATGTCCATCAAGGGCTTCCCTGGTGGCGCAGTGGTTGAGAATCTGCCTGCCAATGCAGGGGACACGGGTTCGAGCCCTGGTCTGGGAAGATCCCACATGCCACAAAGCAACTAGGCCCGTGAGCCACAACTACTGAGCCTGCACGTCTGGAGCTTGTGCTCCACAACAAGAGAGGCCACGATAGTGAGAGGCCCGCGCACCGCGATGAAGAGTGGCCCCCGCTCGCAGCAACTGGAGAAAGCTCTCACACAGAAACAAAGACCCAACACAGCCAAAAATACATAAAAAATAAAATAAAATAAATTAAAAAAAAATGTCCATCAATGCAAAAATGGTAAACAAGTTATAGCATAATCACATAATACAATGTTATCTATTCATTAGAAGAATGAGGTAAACCTACAGGTATTGATAAGAGAAGAGAATCACAACTTGAAAAAAATGTTAATGAAAAATGAAATACTTAGGTATAAATCTAACTATATATATGTATATTTATACATATATATGTGTGTGTGTGTGTATATATATATATATAATCTGCATGAAGAAAACTACAAACCTGTACTGAAAGAAATCAAAGAAGAACTAAATGGAGAGATATTCCACGGATAGACTCAATATTGTCAAGATGTCAGTTCTTCCCAAATTGACCTACAGATTCAGTGCAATCCCAATCAAAATTCCAGAAAGTTATTTTGTAGATATCAAAAAACTGATTATATTAGAGAGGCAAAATACTCAGAATAGCCAACACAATACTGAAAGAGAAGAACAAAATTAGAGAACTGACACTATCCAAATTCAAGACTTCAAGCTATAGAAAGCAAGACAGTGTGGTATTGGTGAAAATATACAAATAGATCAATGGAACAGAATAGAGAGTCCATAAATAGACCCACATAAATATAGTCAACTGATCTTTGACAAATGAGCAAAGGTAATACAGTGGAGAAAAAAGCAGTCTTTCAACAAATGGTGCTGGAACAACTGGACATCCGCATGAAAAAAAAAAAAAGGAATCTAGGCACAGACCTTACACCCTTCACAAAAATTAACTCAAAATGGATCACAGACTTAAATATAAATGCAAAACTATGAGATAGATAACATAGGATAAAATCTAGATGATCTTGGGTCTGGAGATGAATTTTTAGACACAGCCCCAAAGGCATAATCCATGAAAGGAAGAATTGATAACCTGGATTGCATTAAAATAAAAAAATTCCACCCTGCGAACAATACTCTCAAGAGAATGAGGAGATGAACCACAGACTGGGAGAAAATGTTTGCAAAAGACATATCTGATAGGGCTTCCCTTGTGGCGCAGTGGTTGAGAGTCCGGCTGCCGACGCAGGGGACACGGGTTCGTGCCCCGGTCCGGGAAGATCCCACATGCCGCGGAGCGGCTGGGCCCGTGAGCCATGGCCGCTGAGCCTGTGCGTCCGGAGCCTGTGCTCCGCAACGGGAGAGGCCACAACAGTGAGAGGCCCGCATACAGCAAAGAAAAAAAAAAAAGACACATCTGATAGGCTCATAGATGTAGCGAACAGACCAGTGGTTACCAGTAGGGAGAGGGAAGAGGGGAGGGGCAATATAGGGGTAGAGGGAAAAAAAGGGTTATTATGGGATTATTTGAAATCGTGTGTACGAAACTTTTGAAATTTGTAAAGCACTATAGAATTTTAAAAAATCTTTCATTCACTAAAAAAAAAATCAGAAAAAAAGACACATCTTCTAAAGGACTTATCCAATATATACAAAGAACTCTTGAAACTCAACAATAAGAAAACAACCTGATTTTTAAAATGGGCCAAAGAACAGATATCTCACCAAAGAAGATATACAAATGACAAATATGCATATGAAAAGATGTTCCACATCGTATTTGTCAGGGAAATGCAAATTAAAATAATGAGATACCACTACACATCTATTAGAATGCCCAAAGTCTGGAACCCTGGCAAAACCAAATGCTGGTGACGGTGTGGAGCAACAGGAACTCTCATTCTTTGCTAGTGGGAATCCAAAATGGTACAGCCATTTTGGAAGACAGTTTTGTGGTTTCTCACAAAACCAAACAACTTGCCGTAAGATCCAGCAATCAGGCTCCTTGATATTTACCCAAAGGAGCTGAAAATTTATTTATAATTTACTAAAACCTGAACACAGATATTTATAGCAGCTTTATTCATAATTTCCAAAATTTGGAAGCAACCAAGATGTCCTTCAGTAGGTGAATTGATAAATAAACTGTGGTATATCCAGATAACAGAATACTATTCAGCATTAAAAAGAAATGATCTATCTCTACCATATAACTCAGCAATTCCACTACTCGCTATATGTCTGAAAAAAAACAAAAACACTAACTTGAAAAGATACATGCACCCCAATGTTCACAGCAGCATTATTTACAATTGCCAAGATATGGAAGCAACCTAAGTGTACATCAACAGATGAACAGATGAATGGGTAATATATATGGAATACTACTTAGTCATAATAAAGAATGAAATTTTACCATTTACAACAACATGGATGAACTTGGAGGGTGTTATGTTAAGTGAAATAAGTCAGACAGAGAAAGACAAATCCTGTATGATGTCACTTATATGTGGAATCTAAAAAATAAAACAAATTAGTGAGTATAACAAAAAGGACAAACTCACAGATACATAGAACAAACTAGTGGTTACCAGTGGGGAGAGGGAAGCGGGGAGGGGCAAGATGGGGGAGGGGATTAAGAAGTACAAATAAATAAACTATAGGGATATATTATACAACACAGGGAATATAGCCAATATTTTATAATAACTATAAATGGAGTATAACCTTTAAAAATTGTGAATCACTATGTTGTATACCTGTAACATGTAATATTGTACATCAACTATATCTCAATAAAAAAAAATGATCTATGAAGCCATGAAAAGACACAGAGCAACCTTAAATGCATATTATTAAGTAAAAGAAGCCAGTCTGAATAGGCTACATACTGTATGATTCCAACTATATGACATCCTGGAAAAGGCAAAATGATGGAGACAGTTAAAAGATCAGGGGTTGCCAGAGGTTAGCAGGGAAGGAGAAGTAAACAGGCAGAGCACAGAGGAATTTTAGGGCAGTGAAACTACTCTGCCTGATACTGTAATGGTGGAAACATGTCATTGTTAATTTGTCCAAACCCAGAGAATGTACAACTCCAAGAGTGAGCCCCAATGTAAACTATGGACTCGGTGATAACGATGTGTCAATGTAAGTTCGTCAACTGTAAAAACCGTACCACTCTGTGCAGCATGTTGATAATGGGGGAGGCTGTGCATGTGGAGGGTCACCGGGTATAAGGGAAATCTCTGTGCCTTTCTCTCAATTTTGCCATGAACACAAAACTGCTCTAAAAAATTAAGTCTTTTAAAAAGTTAAAAGTGTGTGTATGTGTATGTATAAAAACCCAGAAGGTTATGCACCAGACTTTTAATAACAAACATGTTGTCAGAATGTTACCCTTTGATACTGAAATTAAAAGGATGAACAGTTTGCACCTGTATGCATAAGAAAACAAGGTAAATAAAAGGAATATTGCTCATTGTCTGGGTAAATTACTCTGTATAAACAGCAAATGATATACTGCTGAGACTAGAAAGCATTGCCTATATCACCATCAAAGAGAATAAAATATAATTAATCTAAGAAAAGCTGTGATCTTCTGTGAGTTTTCATAGTACCTGGATCACACTGTACTGAAATTACCTCATTACTGATCCATCCCTCCCACGGATAGATAAGTTCCTTTGGGCAGGGACCACCTTTTTTACCTTTGTACCTAAGCCTAGAACATTCCTGAAACAGCAGGTATTTAGTAAATGACTGACGAATGAGTGAGAGAATCTAATGAATTGTACGTTTCTCCAGAAAATTGTGACACAGAAGATAGCGGTCTGGTACATTCTGTGCCAGCAAGTCCATGCCAGTGTGTCTTTCATGCTCTCCGGGGGAAGCAGGTATTCAAATTCTAATGACAAACATCCATTACTGAGACAAAAAGGCACTTGAATAGAGTAGGAAACTTATCTGATACTAGAGTTAATTAAAACATCGTTAAGAACATAAAACTCTGCATTCTGTGCTAAGCAACCTTTTTGTTTGTTTTTTTGTTTTTTTTTGCGGTACGCGGGCCTCTCACTGTTGTGGCCTCTCCCGCTGCGGAGCACAAGCTCTGGACGCGCAGGCTCAGCGGCCATGGCTCACGGGCCCAGCCGCTCCGCGGCATGTGGGATCTTCCCAGACCGGGGCACAAACCAGTGTCCCCTGCATCGGCAAGTGGACTCTCAACCACTGCGCCACCAGGGAAGCCCTAAGCAACCTTTTTTATCAGTAATTTTCTCTTTTGACTGAACAGACGTATCAAGACAGTGTGTTCTGGGCAAAACACTGATTGGTACTAGTTACACTGCCAGACAGAACTCCCAGTATTGGCTAGTCTATCCTGGTTTGATTGCTCAGAGCCTAGTGATCCTTGGTGAACTGGCAAAAAACACCTTCAAAGCCTAAAAGAATTCTGGACTCCCCAGGGGGCCCAGTCAACAGGCCTCTTTCCTACCAGCAACACCCGGAGGCTCCCAAGTTTCATAAAACCACAGATTTCACGTCAGCTTACTTCTCACATGCCCTTTGCCGCCTTTCGTGCTGGCCGTTTCTTCATCAAACTTGGGATTGTTGAGCAAATTGTGTACTCCAAGAACAGCTGAAAGCAAAGATAATCAGTGAATAAACTTTAAGTTTGAGAAAGCGTGTTAAGATGTCCACATTGTTAATCTGCCCCTCGAAGAACAATTCTTCATATCATAAAGATAAGTCTCTAGACCCTCTTGCCTTGCAAAGTGCATGACACATGTATAGTATGAAATAAGCTTATTTAAAAAAAAAAGAAACCCTCCTCCCAAGACCACTGGCAGTCTTCACATGTCTTTCTACCTCTATACATGTAGAATCATGTAGGATCTGAGGGACAATGGTCTCATCATAGCTCCACACTGAAAATCTGCATAGATGTCCTAGTTAAGTAGATTCATCCCTTATGTTTTCTCATCTGTAAAATGTGAACGTAGGACTGAGTCTAAGGAGAGTTTAAGATCTAACATAATACATACTATGGCACGTAGTTTTTCCAGAGACAAAGAGCAGAAAGATCATGGGCCTTTTCCAATGTAAGCCTCCCCATCTCTCCCATCTCTCAGTACCGAAAAGAGTGGTTCTTTTCCCATCTAGAATATCCCAGGGTGGGAAATAAGAGATGTCAACAATAAAAAGTCAGATAAGCAGGCTGAGATTTTTGAGTCTCTTGTACTACATGGAACTTACACCAGGGGGCAATACAGTATGCAGCGGACAGCACTGGGGTGACAACACTGAGCATGCTCTAACTCCAACTGCCCAGCTTTCCCTTTGCTAAGGAAATTCCAGGTGAGAAATTACAGGTGGCCTCCTGGGGAAGGATCCCAGAATAGTCTGCCAACAGGTGGCAGAGGCGCACCTGAGCTCCTCATGAGCTGTAATCTATACCTTAGAAGGAGGGGGGCAGCCCGTACAGCTGAGAAAGGGCAAATGCTCAGAACCAGCGAGTCTAGGGGTTGAGAGTGGCAGTCAGGAGCAGTCAGCCAGAGCTTAAATCCAAGCTCTGTCACGTACTATCTGTATGACTTGAGAAATTGTTAAATGCCTCTGAGCCTCAGTTTCCCCATCTGTAAAATAGGGATAATAATAATAATAATTACACTTTACCTATTACAAAGGTTAAATGACTTCCTATGTGTTAGATGCAGGTGCCTCAACTCCTGCAGTGACTTCTGAGAGGGTTTCAAATATGTGAGCTAATACTGACCACTGATATCATCACAGAAGGAATGAAAATGTAGCTGAGATGGTTGGCATGCTATTAGAATAAGGCATAGCTGGTTCTCCTGGGAGGAAGGAGATTATTATTACTTACGTATTCCAGTGGAATAACAATGTGAGAATTCTTGCCAAAGCTGTGGACTGTTTCTCAAAGCACCTCTCTCCTGGGAGGACCTAATGACCCTAATAATCCAAATTTCCATCCAATGAGTACACAAATATGGTGGTACATGCATGGAATCTTTTTCAAAGGAAATGTAAGAAATGGCAGGGGACTTAGGAACAAGGGTGAGAGACTTTTCATTACATATTCTTTTGTACTATTTGGGGTTTTTTTTCTATCTGTACGTATAACCAATTCACATAATTATTATAATTACTGTATTGTTGCTATTGTTAAGAAAACTAGAAAAAATCAGCAGATTGGGCAGAATATGGATTTACTTTACTGGGGAAATGTAACAGTAAATTGGTCCTGCTCCATGGTTAAGTTAACAGAATCAAAATTGAACAGTGACTGTGGGGAAGAACAAGAAATTTTGTGATGGAAACGGAAATTCTGTGATGATAAAATGCCAAATGGGGGGCTTCCCTGGTGGCACAGTGGTTGAGAGTCCACCTGCCGACGCAGGGGACACGGGTTCGTGCCCCGGTCCGGGAAGATCCCACATGCCGCGGAGCGGATGAGCCCGTGAGCCATGGCCCGCTGAGCCTGCGTGTCCGGAGCCTGTGCTCTGCAGCGGCAGAGGCCACAACAGTGAGAGGCCCACGTACCGCCAAAAAAAAAAAAAAAAAGCCAAATGTGAAGCTCTTTAGAAAGCATATGCACTGTAATTTTATTAAGTTCTGAATACTCCTTCATACTTATTCTCTTTGATTTCTCACAGTAACTCTCGGATTTTATAGGACCGGTACTATTGGGAGTACTTTACAGCTGAAATATGATTTTACATTTTCAGCTGAGATACAGCAAAATGTTTGCTCAGAGAGGTTTAAGTCACCTGCATCCAGCCTTATAGCTGCCTAATGGCTGAACTCAACCTGGTATCACAGTAACCATCAATAGTTACACAGGAGCTCAAAGGCTGCTGCCAGGGGGGTCACAGAGCCAGACAGGAAAGTTTCCCAAAGCTGAGGACTAACCTGCAAGATCATAGAGTTCAGTGTCGGAGGCGCTGGCCAAAGCTTCTTCCAGTTCTGGGTCAAGGGTCACTTTTTCTTCTTTATGAGTTTCTATGGGCTTTTCTTTGGGGATAAAGACTCTCCCTTTAAATCAGAAGAAAAACAAAAACCGTTGCGTGCTGCTGCCTTGTTGTAGGGTAAGTGAACTAACCAGAGAATGTGCAGCTCTGGCCATTAAGAGCTGAAGCATTAGACCATTGCATATCTAACTGGGATTCCTTAATTTCTGGGATGATGCCAATATCAATAATCCCCTATTAGAGGAAGGAAGGTCAGAGGAGGGATCCTGCATTCTGCAACACAGAGATCTGAGGTGGCAGAGAGTGAAACAGGGGCTTCTACCTCCCTATCATGGGCAGCATTGCCCTTAGACCTGGGCAAGAGGGGCCCTGCCATGAGCCCTCTGCTCTAGAGGGGCCCAACTCTGGTCTCTTCTGGATGCACACCCGTCCTCACTGCCTGCATCCCACTGAGGGAGGAGTCACGGGGACAAAGGGACATTCCATCCAGAATACAGGCCACCTGCTAGAGTATACCCCAGACACCTGGGGCCCTGCAATTCCCTGCCAAAGAGCCCTGAACCTGCTTCCAGGGCCTGCATGAGTCCCTTCCCCATGTCCATCCTCCTGAAGGCAGGTCACACTGCTGGGGTGTGTACCCACGGGCCAACAGGATGCTGTCTGTGAGCGAGTATGGATGAAGCTTGGATATGTAGGCTGGGGTGTCAGCTATGGTGCTTGAGGCCTTGGCAGTGCAGGATGGACCCATATCCCTATGGAAGTCCAAGAATATTGGCCTAGGTAGGAGGACAGTACATATTTTAACAGTTTATTAGCTTTTACATATTTATAAAAATGGCACATGGACTTCTATTTGTATTCTTGCCTTGGATCCTGCATATGGGGGGCAGATGCATCCAAACAGCCCCAGGGGCTCCTGAGATCCCCCTCCTAGAGTTTTCCTCCTACCAACTGAGATTGTAGGCAACCAGCATGCTATATCTAGGGTACCTGGCTAGTGTAGTGACCTGGAGACACAGTCACCTTTCTAGAGCACATCAAAGTCAGCCTGACTTAAAAGGAAAAATCAGGGTTGTCCTATTTAGAGATGTGGAGTTCTGAGCAGCAACACACTGTGCTACCCAAATATGCCTTCTCTGCCACCACCTCCCGCTTCATCCTGTCAGTCTGATTCCATTTATTTTGCCCCCTTCTCACTTCTGAATATGCTGAAATCTGTAGCACCACCACCGCCCGCCCCCACCCCCCCCACCAGCCCAAACCTCTGGACTGATGATCGCAGTTCTGGGAGGATGGCACATGACCTTCTCCTAACTTCCAGCCAGGCCAAAACAGCCACAGCCCACGTGTGCAGTGGCTCCTCAAGGTTAACCCAGGCCACTACAGAGCCACCATAGGATACCCCAGACCTGATCACACTCTTTTCCAATTCCTCCCAGTTTTGACTCTTGGTTTCCCTCTTTGTTGGAGCTGCTCTTACCTCTTGGCATGATCTTTGAAATTGGCCTCTTCCATTTTGATCGCTGGAGGTCCCTAAAGACTCACCCCTCTATTGCTTTTCCTCTTTGTCACCTTAGGACAGACAGCTGGCTCCAGCTTCAGACAATCAGAACCCAAGCTCTTGCCAGGTCTCCTGGGCTAGCCTGGCCATCCCCACTCTCATGGAAAAGGAAAGGGTTATAACCCAAGTCAAGTACTTCCCTCATGAAAACTCTCCAGGAGACTCCCCTGTTTACAGGGCTACATACTTCCTGCTGGTTTACCAGACCTTCAAATGGTTGGATACATCAACAGGGGCCAGGCAGAACTGGGCACCCCAAAGAGGCACCACTGCTGTGGTCAGTCTGGGGTATCCTGACCACAAGGTCTCTATCACTGACCATCACATAAGCTACCACATTTCCCAGAAAGAAGGGAAACAGACTAGGAAACAAAACAGGAAAATAGCCAGAGAATAGAAAAGGAAAAAAAATCAAATCAATCAATCAATAACATCTCAGACACTGAGGCTCCTCCCAGACTTTTGCATAGTGTCTGTAGCCCGAGGCATTTTCTTTCTGGTGCCAAGATCTTGGATCCAGAGTCGAAACAGGGTTTCTGAGTTCCTAACTCCTGGTACCATTTAGGATTACTCTGAACACTAGGTGCGCAGGTGGCCCAGCTACCAGTATTCAGGAGAACTGCTACTGCATATCCATTCCTGGGGTCCAACCGAACGAGAAGCTCTAAATGAATAATGTAGCCTAGCAACCTGAAGGCCCAGGGCACCTGGCATTCAGAACTGAGGCTGGGCAGTCCCTCTCCTGAAGCCCTCACCACACCTCCTGTATCACCGCTGTCCTTCCAGGGGCCCTGCACACGCCTCGCTCTGATCGTTCTGCTTTCTGGAAAACTTGCTCTCTGCTCATTGAGCTCAATCATGCTGCTTCTCAGCCTTTTCCTAAGCTCCCTGGTGCAGCTGTGCACCCCTTCTGTACCCCCACTTATTACTCTGACTGCTCCTGTACTCCTAACCCCCTAAGAACCATCTGTAGATTAACCCGGATCAGGAGGTAATTTACCATAGCTGTTCCTCAGACCACTGCTCTGAGAACAGAAGACAGCAGCTTCCCTCTTATTATTCTTTCACTACCCTACCACTGGATGTTAACTGGGATTTTATGGAAGATTTGACATTATAATTTATTTTTTCCTTCACAATTAAATTAGTCTAACAATAACCGTGCTGCCACAGAAACAGCTCCGTATTTCTACAGCAATCCTCGGTTATTTGCCCAGTTTGTCAGTGCCCAACTTTACCTTCTTAATAAAATGACATGAGTGGTGCACAAGCCATTGGATGTGCATGATTCAGAGCGGCTGGGAGGCTACATAGAGAAGGCAGCAGCCAAGTAGCCCGTGCTTCTGCTCCCCGTGGCCATGGCACAAAAGCTCAGAGATGGCATTTATTCCAATCCACGTTTATCTAGTGCCTCCCCTGTGTCAGTTTCTGTGCCATGATGCAAGGGAGACACAGCCCCACTGTTAATCTCAGTCTCCTATGGAAAACACACAAATCCTAAAGTAAACAAAAGGATGAACACTGTCACAGTGCTAAGAAAGCAATAAATGGGGTCTGTTTTAGACAGAGAGGTCAGGCAAAGCTGGAGGCCCTGACATTTAAGCCGGAGCTTTTAGGAGGTGAAAAACAGGGATGCGGGTCAGAGGGAAGAAGACCCTGAGATGGGAGAAGAACTTGACAAGTTTGGGGAACGAAGTGAGGACAGTGGGGCCCAGGCTTAGTGAGGGCAGGAGAGATGCAGTCAGAGAGGTGGGCAAGGTGAGCTCTGCCAGGACTCTGAGGACCATGGCAATGATTTGGGACTTTAAGCAGGGAACTGACAAGATCTGATTTGTGTTTTAAAAAGACCGTAGTTACTATGAAGTTATCAGTGATTCCAGTCATATCTTTGGGCCCAAGTCACTGCTTATAGCTGAAGGACCTGGACAGGTGATTGGTATCCACTTTTCCTCCAAAGAGGAGCTCAGGGTCAGGAGGTAGGGAGGAGGATTTTCCTTGTCTTAGTTCAGAGCTCACCCCCTGTGTGGAGAAACATCCCCTTACTCCTCAGGCCTTTCCAGATCTATCAGAGTGTTTCTTGCTGGACCACATGCTCCTTGAGGGCAGGGCAGGGTCTCATTCCCTGTGGTCCCAGCACATGGCACAGGGCTCTGCACCCAGGAGGTGGTTGGTACATACTGGATGAGCAGACTGCAATGGCCTCTAATGGTAGCAACTGGAATAGAGGCAGCGCCTCGACCTGGATGAGACTCCTGAAGCTAGGAAAGCCCCGGGCTAAGAGGAACACGCCAATGCCGTGAGACCCTCTTTTAAGCCCGACGCTACTTTACACTTCCAAAACTGCTTCTTGGGGTTTAAAATTTGTTTTACAAAACTAATGTGCGTACCATTACACTCTAAGTATTCAGTTAATTAGCCTACATATTCCTTTTTCTTTCCCCCTTACTCAAGCAGATTATTTTTATAAATTATGGTTACCTGCATGTGTTTCTGAAGCAAGATTCATACCTTTCTAACGACAATTTTCTTTCTTTTGACCTGGTAGCTTTTTTGTTGCTGCTGTTCAGATCTTTAATTTCTCTGCACAAGTCTGTGGTTTTTTTTTAAATTTTATTGAAGTATAGTTGATTTACAATATTACATTAGTTTCAGGTGTACAACACAGTGATTCAATATTTTTATAGATTAATTCCATTTAAAGTTATTAAAAAGAATGTTTACATTTCCCTGTGCTGGACAACAGATCTTGTTGCTTACTTATTTCATACACAGTAGTTTGTGTTTCTTAATCTCGTACCTCTGTCTCACCCTTCCTCTCCCCGCTGGTAACCACAAGTTTGTTCTCTATACCTGCAGCCTTCATATTCTGCCACGGTTCTTTCTTTTTTTTTTTTTAATTAATAAACTTTATTTTTTGGAGCAGCTTTAGGTTAGCAGAGGAAAGTACAGAGAGTTCCTGTGTCCCCCCACCCTTCCCTACA